CAACCAAAATTTCCACGCTGTCGGTTTCTTAACATGTTTCGCCGTTCACCCTCCATCATACCGCGGGTTCACTGCAAGTTGAAAAGAATGACAGGGCAGCTGTTAGAAACACATGGGCGTCATCGTTTAGAATAATTCATTAACATGTTAAAATACTTAGAATTCATGCATTCATTGATCCATTCATGGAGTGCTCTTTTTTTACGATGTACCAAAGCTTGAAAATTGTTTTTCAAAGAACCTTTAGCAGGGAGATTGGTAAGGCTCGTGTAAGATCAGAGCTCATTACTTTTATTTAATAGAGAGTTATCTCTATAAAATCTCGAAAGGACTTGTTAATAGTAAGATCCCCGATTGGAAAGGGTTTGATGTCAGTTAAAGAACTCACACTTCCACACATCATTTGGGTTGTCACTATTCGTTCATCATGGCTAGGAGGGGGCCGGCATTCGAATTGGAGTAGGATGTCAGGGATTTCCTTTGATACTTCTCTGATTTTAAATCATATTTCATCCCAAGTTATGTTACCAGAAACACATTTAAGGTTTTCCAATCGGTTTATAGTTACGCTGTTTATCTTAACACCATATACCATAACAAAAAAAAGAACTTCCAAGCGTTACGCACCACCCACGAGTGAACCAAGACTAAGCAATCTTCAGATAAAACTGGGCTGTACAGCACATATATCGGGAATTAGGGTAAGTTTTCATAACCGTGCAAAGTTTTCTCTGTACCTTTTTTTTTTTTTAATAAACACCAGCACCCTCTTAGCCATGATTAACTACCATTCCCATATTTACATGAATGTTTTGACTGCTAAAGGTCTTTACCTTGTAAGTGACCTCTTTTCTAGGTCGTCTCTTTGGTAAAAGAATGTTCTTCAAAAAGTTCAAAAAGTTACCCGTTAGATCTCATGTCCAATCAGACTTTTGAGCTTTCTCTTTAATGGATGAAAAACGCGAGAAAAGAAGACTAGTGATTCATGATTTCTAATTCACACTGTATTAGGACACAGAGAAATTACTAAGTAAATACAGCTTTGTGTCAAAACTGAGTGATTACCTAGATTTTGTACGACTATTTTTGTTCTTTTTTATCTTGTTATTATAACAAAAGACTCACGGTGCGCATTTCATGTTTATGTTGGAAAAGGTGTAACTAATCGTATGCAAACTCGTTCATATTGGATTGCTGCAGAATAAGTATAACTTGTTACATGTTTAACTGACCACAATAGTTTTTTTAATTACTCGTATACCAATGATAGTTCTGCATTCCCTCATTGACGGCATTCTCTCTTTCACTCTTTGTAAAAGTGTGTTATCAAAGAAATAAACACGTGATAAAGCCAATTTGTGAAATTCGAAAGAACAGGTACGTAGTTTCACAAACTTTATTTCTCACGGCCGTAGTAGACTAAGCAACTCCTTTAATTTAAAAACACCAATCTGTGAAACGAGCCCCTTTCAGGCTTCCTACTTTAATCGCATTGTGAAACTTTGGAATTACTCTTGTACTATTGCTCCTTCTTCTAGTTTTTCGAGTCCGCTCTCCTTCCAGCTTTTCGTCAAACAAACACTTTTTGACTGCCTGAGAACGTCCTTTGACATTGACTAGCCCTGCACGTAGACACTAGTTAGAACTTGCTCGTGCTACAAGCTAGAGGTGTAGTTAGTACTATGTTATAAACCAAATAAAGTTGTTAAAAAAGTTGTTAATTCAAATGGCAGGAATTGAAGCAAATGCATACATCAAGGTGAATATGATTAAATAGGCACTTATGAAAGAATATCAAGTCTTTCAGTTCTCTGTCGTAGGTAAGAGGGAGTAAGTCCAGGGTAATAATTCTGTCTCTGCAAGACATCTCGCCAATCCGGGTTTGTAAGATCCATTTGGTAGCGCGCCGCTGCACTCACTCGCCTTGTGCCCTCAGGGAAACCTGAGCGGGCGACCAGACTTGAGTAGCACAGCAGAGTTGTGACTTGACTAGCGATAAGTATGGCGCGCGCCGGGTAGATACATCAGTTAGTAATGGACATGTCCGCTTTAGGAGCCCAAGGAGCCTGTTGTCTCTGGCGGTGATGGTGTATATATGAGAGTACCAAGACAACGTACCCATAATTGTAACTCCTAGATCGTTTTCCGCGGACACTCGCACAAGTTGTGTGTTGTATAGGATGTATTCGTAAATCAAGGGAGTTTTCATCCGCGTCACAGTAAGCGTTGTGCATTTCTAGGTGTTGAAGTTGATGTTATTTCCCTATGACCAGTCATTCACGTTTGCTAGAGTGGTCTGCAGAGACAGACAATCGCAGACGGAGCTGACGTTCTTATGCGGCTTGGTGTCATCAGCGTATAACGCTGCCCTCATCCCGCCTATAGTAATAAAAATCGTCCAAAACTACCCTTTGAGCTCGACCCTTTCGCAAAATCCAAGTAACATTAGTCTGAATGTTCTTATCCTTCTAAGTAGTGGATGACATTTTTCATTTAGCTC